AACGCTAACCAAAATTTGTCTAATCATCCCCACTACTAATGCGATGACGTCACTTCAAAATTGTACATAGTAAATGGGTTTTCAATTGTATAAAATAACATAGTCCTACACATGTGGTTTACAACTCTGAATCGACTTTTCACCCGAAACGTCCAGATTTTTGGAAAAAAAATCAAAATTATAAAACAACATTTTGAAATTTAATTTTTAATCTGCTAACCAGAATGCTTTGAAATGTTGCAGATGTTTTAAGGCTATAAAGAGCATCATAAATCTTTAGTCAAAAAATATTTGCTTATCCCCTCCAAAAACTTGATGACGTCAGCTCAAAAGTTTGTGGAATAAATCATATCTAAAATGTACAAAATATGATGAGTCTGTACTTGTGATCTATCACTCCATTCATATTTTTTGGATTTGCATATACAGGGTGACTCAAAAAAATTAATGAATGCGTAAATATATTTTATTAATTTAATCAGGAACTACAAAACCGAATGCTTTGAAATCTTGCAGATGTTTTAAGGTCATAAAGAGCATAATAAATGTTTAGTCAAAATATATTTGCTTATCCCCTCCAAAAACTTGATGACGTCAGCTCGAAAGTTTGCCGAATAAATCATATCTAAAATGTACAAAATATGATGAGCCTGCACTTGTCATTTATCACTCCATTCATATTTTTTGGATTTGCATATACAGAGTGACTCAAAAAAATTAATGAATGCGTAAATATATTTTATTGATTTAATCAGGAACTACAAAACGGAATGCTCTGACATCTTGCACATGTTTTAAGGCTATAAAGAGCATAATAAATGTTTAGTCAAAATATATTTGCTTATCCCCTCCAAAAACTTGATGACGTCAGCTCGAAAATTTGACGAATAAATCATATCTAAAATGTACAAAATATGATCAGTCTGTACTTGTGATCTATCACTCCATTCCTATTTTTTGGATTTGCATATACAGGGTGATTCAAGAAAATAAATGAAAGCGTAAATTTATTTTACTGATTTACTCAGGAACTACAAAACCGAATGCTTCGAAATCTTGAAGATATTTTAAAATTATCATAAGCATGGTAATTTTTTTATCAAAACGTATTTGGTCGTCCCCCCTAAAACATTTATGACGTCACCACAAAATTTTGCTGAATAAATCCTATCTAAAATGTACAAAATATGATGAGTCTCTTCTTGTGATTTATCATTCCATTCAAATTGTTTCGATTTGCATATACAGGGTGACTCAAAAAATTAATGAATGCGTAAATTTATTTTATTGATTTAATCAGGAACTACAAAACCGAATGCTTTGAAATCGTGCAGATGTTTTAAGGTTATAAAGAGCATAATAAATTTTTAGTCAAAATATATTTGGTTATCTTCTACAAAAAACTGATGACGTCAGCTCAAAAGTTTGCCGAATAAATCCTATCTAAACTGTAAAAATATGATGAGTCTGTACTTGTGATTTATCATTCCATTCATATTTTTGGATTTGCATATGCAGGGTGACTCAAAAAAATTAATGAAGGCGTGAATTTATTTTATCGATTTAATCAGGAATTACAAAACCGAATGCTTTGAAATCTTGGGAATATTTTAAAGTTATTATAAGCATGGTAAACTTTTGTTCAAAATGTATTTGTTCATCCCTCCTAAAAAATTGAAGACGTCACCCTTAAATTTTGCTGAATAAATCCTATCTAAAATGCAAAAAATATTATGAGTTTGTACTTGTGATTTATCATTCCATTCATATTTTTTAGATTTTCTTAAGAGGTGGTTCAAAAAAATTAATGAAGTCAATTTATTTTATTGATTAAATTAAAGGCAACACTTATTATTAGTATTACACCCCAACCAACCCAATTTGGTAGACACAAAATTTGTTAAAGGAAAAACTCGGTTGAAACATAAGGGTAGCACGCTTATTTACATCGACTTTAACATTACAGACCTGCATTTGTTTTATGCGCTCACTTGGTTTCGCGAATGTGGAATAGACATGTTTATAATCAACCAATTGTGAATTTCACCATCAAGAATTAAAATAAAACCCAATGTTTTATATAATAAGCGGAAGTCGAAGCAATAAAACCGATGGTCGTTTTGTTTACAGTTTCTCTGTTTGACTCTCACGTATGCTGTTACGCTTGTCATCTTAAATTAAGAATGTTTATACATAAACGATTTTCAGTTGCCTTTCATATTACTAGACAGCGGATTTTTGTCGGGCTACGTCACGTTTAATCGGTACTAATTCCATAAATATAATTAACGATTTATTAATCAAACGGCTAAGTAAATGAGAACGGGAATTAACAGCAGAGTGCAACGAAACAGCGTTATTCTAATCTCAAATAAACGAAGTGCAGTCCGCAACAGCAATGAATTCGCATCCCGTACGAGCCGTACCGAGTTTGGCCTTGCCTAGCCCGACAGAAATCCGCTCTCTAGATATTACACACCGACGCCGTATACGTGAGTAAATTGTTTCGTTATTTTATTGATTATAAGAAATCAATATTCAAAACGACCCAATTCATTTTCCCGAAAATTTGGGAACACAATAATTTTATTCTTAGTATTACACTACATCTATCCCAACTGATATACGTGTCCTTGCAAAAATGTTGATGACGTCATCACATTTTTTTTTTAAATTCCCACTACAAAAATGTAATGAGAAAAAAAAACACAATAGGCATGCAGTCGTCAAGTTTCCGACAGCGAGGGAAGTACTGTCTAAACTCTTTAGACCAATTTTTTGAAGTACTATAAATACTACGTTTTTAAAGATTCTCTTGTTAAAAACATTTTTTTCCCTTCTTGTCATACAGTAAAACACAAAATTATAAATATGTTTTGTTTATACCGAATTAGAATTTATTTAGGAAAAGTAAAACGTAAAATTCGAAGGACAGTTAAAAAAGCTAGTACATATTACAAGGGTAGTAAAAGTGTTGAATCCAACCTCATGTATTCTTCGGCCATTTAATTAATTGTTTGTGGAACATTTCCTAAATAGTTACAGCAGTTCGATGGACCTTGCTTGTTTTTGTTATATCTCCATTGTTATTTTAATTAAAAAAAGCAACACAGTTTAACTTGTAAGTTTTATTTCATATGGAGGCACATGAGTCCATATATTTCTACTGAGATCATTCTACATATCACAACAGATATTCATGATGGAAACGTGCACACGTTGTAAAATCTCCGTTTAATATAAAGCATTAGATAGAGAACCTACTTAAACGTGTTTCAAAATTCTTCCACGGTACCTTCTCAGTTCGTTTAATCACAAAATGTTATTTTGACCAGGAGCAAAACGATTAGACACTGACAATATGATACATTCTCCAAATCTTACGTTGGGGACAGCGAAAGTACTTATAGGTACAGAATTGTGTCCCAACTTAACTGCAAGTTGTGACATAATCTCATAAAGTGTAATGATTATTCCGTATTTTTCTATTTTACCAGAGATGCCGGTTGCAAGTTGTAAGAAGTATTTAACTGCATAACATTTATTCTTAGTATACAAGGTCCTGTCAGTGTGAGTACTGTCAACAAAATTTCAAAGACTAACTATTTCGAGCTCTACGCTCTACGCCACTGTTTGAAAATTTAACTTAACCTATAAATTTATTTTGAAGTTTTTGAAACTAAATTACTAAATTAGATAAAGACAGCAATCACTATAGCTATTTCATAACTGATCGTCATGTAAAAAAAACAAAGACAGAAAATGTCCGTGTCACAACTATTTTCCAAAGTATATCTAGGGTCTCTAGAAAAAACTATTACCGCAATAAACTAAGTCATCTAGATAGTTTCTATGACAATTTTCAAACAAATAAAAAATTAATCATATTTGAACAAAGCGTCTCGTGAATTGTAGTTTTGTGTTCCTTAAAACGCATTAATTTTGGAAAAAATGGAGGATTTGGATGAAAGTAGTGCTTCAGATAATAATTGTACCCGTTCAGACGTTTTAGAAGTAGCAAGTTTATAAATTTATAAACGTCATTTTTGACAAAAATGTACTTTAGCTTCGGGCGGGAGCTAAAATAGTTTACCTCCCGCCGGGAGGTAAAGTGACACTTTGTGCCCTTAAATGAGGGAAGAAAATCACATTTTTTCACTAGCAGCCAGGACGCATGCAAATGTCGACTCATTTAGTGGTAGCAAATTCAACTATTGCGACCACCGGTTCAAAAAGAAAAATTGAGGTTATGTACGCAATGTTTGATGCATGGAGGAAGGAATATAATGGAGGGAGTGAGAGTTCAAATAAGTGATCCCGCGCCAAAATGCGTGAAAGCAATAAAAGGTGCTTCAATATGGCTGCCGCTTCAGTGGCGTATCTTAATAGTATTCATAAGGGGTCCCACTACTCAAAATTATATTCAATGCAAATATTTTTTTTAGAATATCTAAAATTTGAATTTTACTCATAGAAATTTATTTTGTATAATTATAATCAACAAAAAACCCAAATTCACATCAAAGTTTTAATTTTTGCTGCATAATTGTTGCAAGATCTTTGGAATAACATTTAAGGAGATAATATTATAAAGAAAAAACATTAGCCAAGAATAATAAAATCATTATATAAAATTATAAATGACTGGTAGTTACGCTAAGGTTTTGGGGATAGGGTGAGGTTAAAGAATAACAGACGAATTTGTATATGTTGTAATTCTAGAAGCTCGATTTTTTTTTTATTAATCCAATCAATGCATATCATTACTTGGTCTTAGTACCAGTAATCATAGAAATGTTGCCTCAATGCCAGTCATTTTCGGGTTAGCGGTGGGTCTTAAAATAATTTTATTAAAAGGCAGTAAGAGAACTGTACTTTATAATTTGTATAATAATTAATATTAATTTACAAATATGTACTAGATAATAATAACATAAATAACATATATGTTTTTATAAGGTATTAAAAGAATACAATATTACAAAATAAAGATAAATTCACTTAAAGGAAATACATACAATTTAAATAAAAAGAATACAGGATTACTACAAAGATGAGTTCGTTTCAACTAAAGGTTTGATACTTTTCTGAAAAATAGTATAAGAATAAAAAATATATATATAAGAAGAAACAAAGTAAAACGTCAACGCAATCAAATATGTTTTAGATTTTCTCCATATAATAAAACTTAACATGTTGTTTACATTTTTTTTTTAAATAAACCACATTTTGTAACTTTATTGCCCTTTAAAATGAATCAACTTAGTATATCTTTGCCTATCAGAATCTACTAAATAAGACTTACTTTTACAACTGTATTTTATACGCAAATTCAAATAAATATTAATTATTTCTTTCAACAAAAAAGATGTATGGGGGTGATTTCTATGAAGCAATTTCTCACAGTTTAAATTTTCAATGATGTCAATTACAATTTTGCATTTACTAAGTTTGGTATGTACTCGCTCATGTGTTCTGTAAGTTTTTTCACTTTGTACGCAAATGGCAATCACATCGTCACTAGGATAGCTCAATCCCCCCTTTGATTTGAAATCAACAAAACTTCCTAATAAGTTCTCTTTTATACCAAAAAGGCATGATATACATATTTCACATTTCAAAGATTTGGCTAATTTAAAAGCAACAAATCCAGCAATGTAAATGACAACTTCCTCACAAAAATTTGTTAAAGATTCCTGCGTAAAGAAATAATTATGTTCAAAATTAACGTCACTTTCCTGAGTAACTTGTACGTCACTCGTTAATATCAATTGATCAGAATTAATAATATTTTCGAGTTTTTTAATTCGAGACGAACATGTCAAAATATTTACTTCCTCTTGTCTTGTTAAAGCTTGTTTACTGTCGTCTGAACTAACTCGGTAAATTAGCCTTTACACGCACCCTGCCTGTAAAGCGTTACAGTGGCAGCTTTACAGGCACCGTGCCTGTAAAACGTTGTCATGACAGCACCGGAATCAAACACACATTCGCTGCGTCGGCCTTTTTCTTAATCTCACTAATGCTGTGCTAATACTAACGTTAAAATCACCTTCAAACTCTTCATCTTCATCGAATTCCACAATTAACAGAGCTCACAAACAAAATTAAACTATTTAAATTATTAATCGAATTTACAAATTGACAGTCCCGTTATTTTCAAACAATTCAATTTTCCATAGTTACCGGAGCAAACTATGAAAAATGACTATAATTTCTATGACTGTAATTTCAAGTAAAATTTCTAGAGATGCCAAAGTTGTTCATTTTCAGGATTTTCAGCAAGAGGAAGTAAAACGTTGTACGCGGCTCGCTTGCAACTAGCCTTTACTGGGGCTCACCGGATTACAGGACTCGCTCCTACGTCGCTCGCCCTGCAAACATTCCGGCTCGCCCGTAAAGGCTAATTTACTAAGCTTGCCACGTAAATAACTATTACGGGGCGAGTGAATAATTAAATCTTTGTTAAAAAATCTCAATTTGGATATATACGAAGTAAAGCAATTCACAAACGTTTTTACCTGATTAATATTATACTTATTTAATGCTTGCTTGTAACCAAGTTCCTTTATTCTGCGCGAATTCAATATGTCAAAAGCGTCATTAATATTTAAAATGAAGGTAGCCGTTGCTCCACAGTTCTTAAACTGATCAAGCTGTAAAATATCTCGACAAAACGTCAAAGCTTCAGAGACAGACCTGCTTAATAACTGTGTAGCTAGAGCAACTTTCATTTTTTGTTTAAAAAAATTTATATGTCTTCTACGTAGTTTGTTTGCAAGGTGCAGCCCTTCATTTTCTTGCAGTTCATTTAGAAGTTCTAAGTATTTAAAATCAATAACATTATTCTCTCCATCGACTATTCTTCTTTTGTCACCAAATGTGTTACGTATTAATTTCATCATGTGTGAAGGATCAAGTAAAAGAAGTATATTCTCTTCACCAAAGTTTGTTTTCAAATTAGAAGGGCTAAATGAGCAACCTAATGCAGATGCCATTGACAAATTTGTCGCACAACCATCAAATGTAATATTGCTAATTTCAATTCCTACACTTTTTACTAAAAATAAACACTGTTTTAGTAAACCTAATTTTTGCTCACTATTTAAAGAATGGCTTAAAAAGTAACCCACGGGGATTTTCCAAGAGCCATTTATAGCAACCAGCATGAAAACTAAAGCTTCTTTGGCCTCTTCATTTTCATTTACTTCGATTATACTACCCATATCAACTAATATTGTTGCCCATCATATTCAATGCAGCGTTTAATAGCAACTTCATCGAACACTAAAGAACACACAATTTTACGTTCTTCAGCCTTTGCTTTTAACACATCGAATGCCTCACTTGAGAAACCTGATGCACCATTCACTGAAGAATACCATACAGACAAAGTTTTTGGGTGTGGAAGACAGTCCATGAATTGTTTTCTTATAAAAGAAAAAGCCTTTGGGGAGTAGAAATGTGTTGTAACGGCAAATTTTCTTATTTCTGGCCCATATTGATTTGGCAATGGTTTGTTGTTAATTTTAGCCCACATTCTGCTCAACAGTTCTGTATTTTCCTGAAATTTATTAACATCCACACTGTTGTTTTCATAATAGTTGATTTTCTTCCTTAAACTTGAAACAACATCTTTCAGATTACAAATTTTGCGTTGCTGTTTTGAGGTTCTGCGTTTTAACGTTTTAATAGTGCATTGTTGTTGTGACACTAATGTCTTCAGGTTGTTAATTTGTTGTTTCAGTAAAACGTTTGCACATGTTTTTGTTGTTAAATTTTCAAGTTTCTTTGTAATTTCAAAAACTTTATTAGACAATTCATCTTCTATATTTTGTTGAGGCTCTACCGAAGGTGCGTCACAAACTTCTGTGTGATGCGTTTCATTGCCTCTAAAGGTCACTACATTGGTAATCTAAAATAAATATATGTATTAATTGTTATATCATGCAGCATGTGAGTTTATTTAATACCCTTTCTTCATAAGTATAAGAAATAGTTGGTACTGAATGTGGTCTTAAAACTACTTTCTGGGCTGATGTTCTATCAAAACACTTTTCTTCAAAATGAAATGAACACAGGAAAAAGTTGTTCACAGACACAGAATTTCCTAGGTGAAGATAAAGGAAGTCTGTCCACAGTTTCTTTAATTCAGGTTTCTGGGGACACCTAAAAGCAATTCAAAAATATTCATTAGTCCCTCTTAAGCAAATATTAAACGAAAAAATACGACACACTTGTGAAACGTTATTTTTTCTCTACCAATTGTTGACCTGGAGCCACTCGTAACTTTACACAATTTGCAACTAACCATTTTAAGTTTTTAAATAAACATGAAACGCTTATCGCAAATTCAAAACAAAACGTTCACACTAAACACGAGGTTAAAAGCGAAAATGACAAAAACAGAATCGTACGACACTGGTCAGTGCTGGCTGATGAAATTATTAAAGTAAGCATGCGCGGTGAAGGGCGCGCTAATTGTAAAGAGTAATAAAAGGTGCTTGCACTGGTGCCAAGAATTTACATTGCCGAGATACGGCGCACTCCCTCCATTATATTCCTTCCTCCATGGTTTGATGTGATTATTTCTTAAAAAATGAACAAATGTGTGCTACAAACATTACTTGAGTATACGCATGGTAGTTGGTAGACGGTAGAAGATAAAATGATTAACTCAGCGACAAGTATAAACGGTTTTCTTTGTGTTGAAGATTTAGATTAAGTTTGATTAGAAATCAAAACAAAATCATGTTGCGTCAAAAAATTTAACGTTTATTTTTTCAGTTTATTGTCTTATGGTTCCTACTAGTGAAAAAAATAGTATATTAACCACGGTTGCAAAGCCACTTCTAGACCTCGCGCTTCAGAGCCCTCGACGCTGCGCGTCTCGGGTTCTAATTTGCGCTCGGTCTAGAATGCTTGGCTCTGCAACCTTGGCTAATAATATATTATTTCCATATAGTGAGTAGAAAAAAATGTTTATTGTTAATAATGTATTTACAGGTGGTGATATAGTAAGCCTAGTTACTAGTATACGAATATATAGTCCAGACAGGGACACTTAATTTAACAGTCCAGGTAAAGTCCGTCGCGCACAGGTAAAAGTCCTTCGCGCACAGTGAGAGCCCGTAGCGGAACCGTAACACAAGTAATAAAAGTCCGTCGCGAAACTCAACCACAGAACATAGAGAAGCGTCATAGTTTAAATCAAATGACGGTTGAGGACTTCTCAATTTATGTTGGTAGCAGTGTTTGTTTCTAACTAAAATAAAAGTAACTAGAAGAAATGTCACAATATTTTTAACGACGCGTTTTATTTTCGACAAATTGACACTAGATTTACCACAATATTACAAGCTGCTTACTGTTTCCTTCACTTTCATTCAGGTCACACGAATTACAATTATAGTGAAGCAAGGTTTTTATTGGCATCGACTATTTAAATTTGGCGCTTGCCTTTGGCGGTTGAGGACTCCAATGTCAATAAGGGTGGTTTTGCAAAATCAGCCTCTATGTCGCTTCTCTATGTTCTCTGACTGAACTACGGGTAATGTTCGTACTCGCACACGAAAAATCCGCACTCGTACACGTAGACTCCGTACTAGCACCAGTTCAGCCACTTACCCCTCTCTTTAGGAGAAGTGAGTCCGCGGATCAATTCGGCGGGAAGTAAGTGGGTTAAGACTTCGATTATCAAATCGCAGAAAAAAACACAAGACCTGGGAGTGGGCATCCAGCTCGCTGCAAGTGCTTAGTGCTTTTTAGCTGAGAGTGGGAATCCAACTCTGGGGAAAAACTTTGATGCAGCTCGCTTTATTGGGGTGGGTTTGCACTGAGCATTCCTGTGCGCCGGTAAAGCTTAGGGGGGACGTGATATGGCTTGAGTCTATTCGGGGGTGGCGATCGGAGCGTACATCCCGAGCGATAGCCAAGTTTTATTATAATAATTCTGTAGTTATTTTATTCTGTAAAATAAAGTGAATTTTGAAACTGATTTATAAAATATATTCTGCCAAATTTTATTTTCAAATTCCCTGCTAGAATAGTAATTTACACTACTAGTTCGGAATAGCCTGTTTCCGGCATGAACGCTTGTTTGCGCCACGACCGAAAGGAGTGACGCTTTTGCGTGAATGCGGGAAGCAGGCTTCGCGAACGTGTTGTGTACAATATTTTTTGAAACGATTAAACTTTTAAAGTGAAAAGATTAATTCTGAGTTATTTATAAATAACCACGTTGACACCACCGTAAATACGTCACAATGTTTACACTTCCCGACTACTTTCAGGTTACCATGGCAAAGGAAAGCAAAGGAGATTCGACCATGGCCGACTGGTATAAAGATTATGGCCTGTCCAAGAGGTAACATACGTGTTGCCATCTATTAATAATTACACTTAATAATTTTGATAAATTTTAATTTGATTTGACATTATAAGACTTCAAAACGTGTAATAGTGGTTTATTTCGGTATGAATGCCTGTGTGGCTTTCAAAAAATATTAATCATTCTTTTGTCGTTTTTGAATTATTAATAGATGGCAGCACGTATGGTACCTCTTGGACAGGCCAAAATCTTTATACTAGTCGGCCATGGTTCGACCTACCGCACCTTGGTGAATGAGCGAAAATCATCAAAAAAGATTATGAGTGTAAAAAACTCATTAACACGAGGCGAAATTTTAGGACGTAGTCCCTACGACCACCCCAGTAACATTTTATATGTAATCAATATTGAAGTTCTAACATTTAAATAATATGGGTAAAGACAGATTTTTTTTTTTTAAATCAATATTGGTTTTAAATATTGAATATATATTTATTTTCAATGTTTAATACTTATTTAGTTCAGAACATTTAATAAATGTTCTTCATATGAAAGGGGGTATGGATATAAAAAAAACTTGTATGGAATACAATATAATATTTATTAAATACAAAAATACATTGTCACTGGAAATAACAGTGTATTTGAAACGTTGCGGCAATATTTATACATTTAAAAAATATTTGTCCTAGAACCAATTCGTTGAAAATTTGTACCGGGTGATTTTTTTTTAATTTCTGCTGTAGTTACCCATGACACTTATGTGAGCAGTGAAACTGAAACTGCTGGCATAAGCTTCATGGGCAACCAGAGCATAAATTTAAAAAATCACCTGATGTGAAACACAATATAATTTTTTTAAACATAAAAATACACTGCCAACTTACAATGAAATAAAAATACATTGTCAATGGAAATAACAATGTTCTGCTACATTTCAATCGTTATACAGAAATATTTATTTAATAATTATTTGCTCTATAACCATTCATTGAAAAGCGATATAATCAATTAAAATAAAAAAAATCATACCTCATGTTTTTTTCGATGAGAATTCATTCTTGCTTTTGTCTGCGCTTAATGAGGTCCTACCATTTTTTAAATTTCAGCAGTTGTGGCGTTTTTGTGACAGTTTCCGTGTGGTACCTACAATTAAATTAACTTACAAATTTCGTAATTTTTAAGAAATCACATAACTTTACATATTGTAGTCTTGTTAATTGTGAGTTCACTAAAAGAGAGCTTATTTTTTCCTTGCCCTGAAAACTTGAAAGCAATTTGGTTCATTATTAATAATTTCTTCAAAATTGCATAGGTACATGTTTTTTTACATCTTCTCTTCCTGGCAAATAAACATTATTATCAGTCTGAAACTAACTAGTTTATAAATACTAGGAGTTAATAATAATAATAATAAATGCTTACCAATTCATCCAATTTCTGCGTATCTCCCGCAATTTCTAACTGGATTTTTTCTTTTTTTTGGTTGCGCCCGGACATTCATCATTTTGTCTCTACATTCATAATGTGCTTATATTCAGAAATATTAAACCTCTTAAATATACTTACGTGTTGAGAAATTGCATTTTCTGCATTGCTTGTAGAAGTGAGGTTATGTAAGTTTAGTACTGTTTTCTTGACAAAACGGTATTTACTACACAATTCTGATTTTATCGCAGTACCGATAATCACAATTCACAATAGGACAAACACCATGAACTTACACAAAATACTTTTTGAACCACCAACAATAACAGAAAATATGTATATGTTGCACATTGCGCAAACGCGTTCCAGCAGAGCAAGCGCAAATTTAAGTAAGTTTTATAAAAATGATGAATAAAATTATTATTTTTTGTTCGCAAAAATAAAAAAAATATTACTTTTTAATGAGCAATTAATAGTGTGCAACACGATATTTCGAATAGTGTCAATTTCACAATAGCTGGTATTTTTTCAAATCAATTTTTTATATTGCTCCAACAAAAACCCTATGACATAAATTACATACAAGTTGTCCCAACATGGTACTTTTTTTTCATTTTTGTTGTTCGGTATCTTGATAAAAAGACATTTCATAAATATGTAATATATGTTGAAATTCATATATAAATTTATAAATATAAAATGAATATTATATAAATATTTGTAATATCTAGTCAACATTTAATATTATATCAATCTTATATAAATATTAGAAAAATATTGCTTGCTACTGGGGCAGCATTAAAAAAAGGCACTGTATAAAGTGTCGAGCTTTCATGCTAGTTTTAGGTATATGAAAATTGCCATTAATATACTTAGTGGAGTTAAATAAAGTGTTATAATTTACGTGTTACTCTGTTACTGTCAAAAGTTGTAGAAATTTAGTAAAATTTCGATGAAAAATTTGTCTTTTAATATCATGACCATGAGTTATGAGTGGTTTTCTGACATTTGTAGAAATGTCACTATAATTTGTCGAATAGTCATTTTTAGTTTTTTACTCTATTCAGCATCTCAGAATTTAGATTTCTCCCTACCCGTTTTTCTTTAATCCAGCTATTAAGAACAAACTACCTGACCCAAGAAGATTAGTTCTATTGATATGTAGTTTGTTCTTGAATCGAGATGAGTGTCCATTAGTTAGATTGGTATAATACTTTAGTTCTAAGGTGGCTCTGTAACAACCTCCAGGGAGAATTACGGAATATTGTATTATTCAAGGTGCCCTCGAAGTTGAGGCATTCTTTTTAACATTATGCTACTATACGTTATTCTAAAGGGTTTTAGCTAAATCACTTTAGCAAAACTTGCATTATAAAAAAGATAATTATAATTCTACTTGTCTAAAATTTTAAGTCCTTTCCTGTTCATTCTACCGTAATTGAAATACGATATCTGCAAAGCTTCTACTGAGTTACAATAGTTCCTCGATGTTTTAATAATGTCAGTGATAATTGTCATTTCAGACATGTTGTCAATGTTCATCGAAAATTTATGCGACGAAAAAACAGTTTAGCACACGAGGCGAAGCCGAGTGTAATAATATTTTTGAGTGGATAAAATTCTTTTATTCACGTGTATCATACAAGATTTTTTCCAATTTCGCAAAATTAAAAAATAATATTGTTTAGGTAATCCATTTACATAAATACTATTACTAATATGATGAACACTTAAAGAAGGTAAACTGCCTAAGTTGCCTGTACTTTCGTCACGGTCAAATTCATAGGGTGTTCCTGGCCTTTCATTAGGACTGTTTTACAGGAGGTGGACCATCAAGCGTTGCAAATTTTAGTTGAATATGTTTACATATACATACCAACGAAAATTTCAGTGGTAGTGCGAATTTTTAGTTTTTTTCACTTTATTCGTGTTGTCAATGACAGTGCGAATAAAGTGTTGCTATGAACATTTTATTCATACTTTCGATTAAACTATTGTTTTAATAGCAGGATTTAACATACAAAATGAGGATTTTATTAGTAGAAATTGGAAAAATATTTTTTTAGTCGACCGTTACAAATTTAGTCGTTTTACCTCAGAGACTTTAAATATGTATAGACCGGCTATGTGGCCTAAAACTTGAAGCCGGCAGTCGCCATATTGCTTAGTCCCAAAATCGCGCCGAATTTAAAATGTCAACAATTTCAAAGTTATTAAAACACGATCTTAACAAGTTTATTTGGAATAGTAAGGTGTTGCCGATGAAATAAAATACCTTTTTGACCACTACTTTTTTGTTTCGAATTACGATACCACCGTACACCGCAGCTTACTGGCATTTTCGTTCAAAGTTCACTTAATTTATTAAATACTGTCGTAACAAACGCGACACCATTGACCAGGAGCTAGGTCCAATAAACAAAAAAAAAAAACAACAAATAACAGCCACACTCAGCACCCAACAAACAGACTTTCCTACTTCTATTAACGAAAACTCGAAAACTGAGAACGATAGTTCCGTTTAAAGGTTAAGTTGGGTCAGAATTGACAGAAAGGGACCAGCAATGGCGGCGATTTCTGTTGACAGAACTGCTTCACGAAATACAATAGAATTTAGGGTGACAGCCAGTCTATATATATTTGAAGTCTTTGTTTTACCTCCCAAATCACGTCCGTAATGTCAAAGTTACTGTTTTGGAATCGCTTGTTTTGAAACCGTGTTTTTGGTTAAGTCTTGAATTTATTACGCATGGAGCTTTTCATGTATATCCCTGTATTCATGACCTTTCTTGCTCTGAGTAGGCCATTTTTTATAGACTACCATGACTGGCGTGCTTTTTCTACTGTTGTGTGTTGCGTTTTTCTTTTTTTAACCAAGTAAGTAAAATTTTTAACGTTAAACAATTATTTTCAAAATGCCAAAAAATAATTTCATTGCAAACATAACTTATGATCAAGAAATATTAATTGCACTTCCATAAAGATGGGCTTGATTTAAGACCAGAACAAATCAGTGTAAAGACTGCTGGCATATTTTCTTAATTTACAAAGACCTCGTAAATTGTGTTTTCAAAGTATCTTTACAGGTGAGCCGTGCAACTGTCTGTAAAATTCTTGTGACCAAAGCCGAAAAACAAAAACATTTATCAACAACAACTCTGGTAAAAGAAAATCAATTGAATTTTTTTATAATTTTGTATTCAGAAAAGTTCTGCAATCATTCATTTGGCAACATAATGAAAAAAATGAATAATTTCCTTACAAACTTTTAACTGATGCACGGAAACAATTCTAATTTCAGGGAGAGACAACAACACTTTTCAAAATTCTTAAGTCTATTGGTAGTAAGTAAGCTAAATCTGATGCGAACAAAAACATGTCGTTGCAGATAAAATTAGTTTTTTAAGAAAATTTCTTCAAATTCTAAATTCTAGTGAAGATATAATATTTGTGTACCTCGACGAAACATTTGTCGTTGGGTACATGATTTAGTTTTGAAAAGGAATCCCATAAAAATTAGAAGTAAAGTTTCAGTTTTACAATCTTTGGTATGGGTTATCATTTGGTCTTTTTAGAGGGATGTAAATTTTTATTAAATCCGAAAAATAACGACAGACATTACCACACAAAAATGGACTGGACACTTTTTCAAAATTAGGTGGTTAATCAACTTATTTCTGCTTTCAACAAGTGGCAACGAAAAGGTGTGGTGGTAATGGACAATGTATATTAGGCATTCGATGCAGTTACACAAACTATCCACACTTTCTAGCAGAAAATATAAAATGGAAGAATGTGAGTAATCACAGTACTGGATTTGATCAAAATTTTTCGAAAATCAACTGTGGTATGTAATTCAATCTTTGAGAACTGATCGAAAAAACGATTTTTGACAGACGAGACATCACGGAAAAGTGGTAATGGGGTCCTTAGATTACCCCCATATCACTGTCAATACAATCCTATATTGAAATGGCATGGGGAATTTGTAAATCTTACTTTCACATAACTTTTTGGCTATCATCCGAAAATAAGGTCGAGGGTTTCTAGCTTAAGGTTCTTTCTATATGTACTCCAGAAATTTGGCAAACCTTTAGTAAATATTGTTCAGAATTTATTACAGCTGACTGAAAAAACACATGGGAAATTTGTCTCCATTCATTATTTCATTGGAGGAATATGATTTAGAATCAGAATTCGAAAATGATGATAATAAGTAATCGCTCAGATTTATATAACGAAATAATGGATGCTGAGTTTAAAGAGTAGGTACAATTAAATTACTAATAAGCGAAAATAGTTAAAAATTTTAATATTTAAATGCATCTTACTAGTGGATAATCGTTTTGTAAAAATTAAAGTACAACAGGTAAGATTTTCGATGTACCATGTGAAAAACATTTTAAGCTTGCAGAACAGAAAAACTGCATGATTCTTGGGAAAATACGCTAGAAAATTTTGGAACAATCTGCGAGTTCCTTCAATTTTAGTCAACAAAAGTGGACAAATTGTGATTTAGTTAAAATTTAAATTGTGTTCTCCTGTTGGCGCAGACAAAAGAATTTTTTTGCAACTGAAATGCATTGAGCATCAATTTTCTAGCAGTATGTGTTTCATTAATAAAACCAATAATATAATAATTAATTATTATATTTGCTCTTCAGTTCAAAAAATAATATTTCCAAGTTTTATATAAAAATATTCAACAAAGTTGTCAAGTTATCAATTTTTAATTAATTATTGTCTTTGTCATTTATATTAAAACACCACCCGTTGATGTCGGTTCAAATTTAGCAAGTGGCAAATTTACGATCAACAAGTGGTGTTGCAATAGAAGTGGTAAAGACTATACTTCAATAATAATGTTTCTTGAAGATAAGAGTTAAGCTGGCAACAATGTTTAAGTTTCTGACACCGTTCATAACCTTAAATTAGTGACAGCCAAAGAAATCTTTCTCAAGAAAGTTTAGCTTACTAATGTTGATTACCAACTTAATTACTAGATCAGGCTTGTTAGGTCAGCTGGTCTAAAAAATGTCGGGAATGCATTATGCTAATTAAAATTTTAAATATAGTCTTTGCCATTTCTATTGAAACACAATTTGTTAATCGTAAATTTGGCAACGTTCATATTCAGACAATTTTCTAAAAAGCCGTTGTCAATCAACCGAAACCTGTTACCAATTGCTGAATTTTAAGCAAAATCAACAGGTGGTGTTTCAATAGAAATGGCAGAGAATATGTATGTAGTAGAGTGCTAAGCAGAACGAAAGGTGACATGGGCGGACCTTCAGATGCGCGTACCAGTGGCGTAACTGATTTATCATAAAATGTAATTAAAGTAATAAATGCTCTGAGGACCCTATTCTTCTTGCTAATAAATACAAAGTGACAAAATAAATAATAATAACTTAAAAAAATATTTGAGACATAAAACGCTGGCACCAGACATACGAAGACAGTACAAAAGTAAGACAAATTAACGGCGCTACTGCCCTATGTTTCCATCCCCCGAGAGCTATGAATAGACTCGACCAACGTAACTTGCTTTACTGCGCAACCCACGTGATGGCCCTTTTCGTTTTGATTGTCACTTTATTATTAGTAAGACGTGGCAAATCTGCAATATATTTAAACTTCACAGGTCACTGGATATAGAAAACCCTGTATAAAAATTAAGGAGTCTGTAAATGATTCTTTAGGTATAATCTTTAGAACTGGCAGCTATTACAGAATCATCATCACCATTAGGTCGAATTTTACCCAAAAACTTTAGAGATCAAAGGTTCGCGTAGAAAAACAGCACAAAGAAGCTTAATACAACGTGGCGAGTACTAAAGAGATCAGGGACAAAATACGTCGAGTAGAAAACTCTCACGGACTAAGTAAATAAAACGTATTCAGATCGTAACAGTTTATTGCCATTTTCAGTATGCTAGAGCTTAAAAAAATGTTGTAGCAGTTTGTTACAAGGGGTGAAATGGTGAAAACAAAGGATTGAAACCTAAATACTGAATACAAGTTTATGTATAATAAAGATTATTGTCATGTTATTTATTATTGTGGAATAAATTATAAAATAGTCTGTTTCTCCACTTGTTAGTTTATAGTTTTTCTTTATACATATTATATCGTAACAGTCTCAACATTTTACATTATGGTTTTATTTTAGATTGGCTCAAAAACACCAGTTTGTCCTGGAGGCTGTGTAAGTAAGTCGTTACCTAGATCCGAAGCTAGTTACAAAAATCAGGCGCATTGCAGAAAATTGGAAGATAAAGTATCCATTTTATCAACAGTTCCTTTAGATCAAACTTTTTATTAGAAAAATTGTTAGTTACAGTTTTATTGTTCTTCCGAAATTATGGTTAATAATAATAATTATTAATAATGACTTGTGTAATTTTATTTAAGTTTTATGTTGAAGCATTCGCATATGGATAAAATTATGTTAAACCACAACAATAGTTATTTATATATCAAGCGCCGAAAATGAGACGTTGTGTCCGAGCGTATTTGCAGCGCGAGAGCGAAGCTCGAGCGCCACAAAAGCGCGAGGGATGCAAAGTCGTTTTGGCGATGTGTAGTTGTTATCGAATGTCTGTATTACCAAGAAGATTATCCAAGAATATTTATCATACGTCTTCACGCAGAATGAAAATTAAAACCAGCGATAGTAACTCAATCCTCCCGAGCACGGTCGAAACGGGACCACAGTCCAGTTGTATCAGGCGCATATCAAGCGGCTACGACGTGTAGTTTCCATAGCAACATCTAAATCAGCCATGATTCGGCCTCTGTGCGCGGCTTTTATCAGCATTTCATCACAAATAACATATCATATGTCCAAGACACATCTTTAGATGTAAGTGGAAGTAAGTTTTGATACCTTTTATGCAAGTAGAGCGAGATCAAAAAAATTAGTTTTGATAATTATGACACAAATTTCCGGATAATTTTTTAAATATTGAAAATTACTATTTTGCTATGTCCAGTGTGTTTGTAGACGTTGTAATTTTGGGGGGGCACGTGTTCTTGTACCCCCCCGGCACCAGCCGCCCTTGGATTTTGTTAACATAAAACATTTCATTATTGAACAATTTTCTTTTTTGTCCAAAAAAGAATATTAAAAAACAATTTCATGAAGTTTTTTGTAACTCTGTTTTAAAAACAAACATCTGGTCTTTCTAATGGCTTTCTTAGTTTCTTTAAGTGTAATATAGTTCGGTGGAAAATTTGATTCAAAATCAGATGCGAATAGTGGCCCGATTTCAATGCTCGCAAGTGTAGTTGGCAGAGCTGATAAGTACGAGTATCTACAGTAACGCGTAAAAATAAAATCAACGATTTATCGCAAATTTATAAAAGTGATAGAGAAAGGAAATAATTGGAACACTACCGGATGTGGAACAAGAAGCATGGGCAGCAATTGGAGAGCTGCTGCCTACGAAATCAGCTGAAAGATGATACAAAAAGGAGTAGGACAGTTTCCTCAAATGAAAAAAGGAAAAGAAAGTTACTGATGGTGTTTCTGAGAATGTAATGATCGCATATTTTTCCGAAAAAGCCAAAGTGTTCAAATCGAGTACATTATGGTCCCAATATTCGATGTTGAAAAAGATTCTAATGATTAAAGAAGATACAGACATTAGCAGGTTTGTAAACGATCTACAATATTTTCCTTTTTAAAAGATGTTTTTTTTAGGTTTTTAAAGTTGAAAGCCTTTATAAAGAAACAGTCTGAGAGTTATCTGGCAAAAAAATTGAAAACATTTTTAGGAGAAGACATTGAAAATTTGTGCCTTCCTTGGCAGATGCCTCGTTGGAACACACGATGGAGCTGTCTTCTTCAAATAATAATTCAGGCCGTGTTTTTATATTTAATTAATTGTTCTACTGTTAATATTAATTGTGAATAAATATGTTTTATTAGCACAAAATTGTCATTTACATTGTATAAAAAATTGAAATTTGACCAGTGATTAAAATTTTTGGCTCACTTGATCAACAAATTTTCATCATTGAATGAATAAAGGTTAACTTTTATAGTTATTAAACAATAGCATGTTTGCGCAAAACATTTTCTTATAAATTTTTTCTTATGCTTACAGTTATAATTATAACACCCATAATCGTTACATCTTATATTGACAGTAATAGAATTTTTCTACAATGTCAATCAGTGTCATTTGGAACTCTAACTATGTCGCAACTGAAAAAGAAACTCTGTTTGTATTAACTGATACACTAAGTAGTTCTGAACATCTTCTGCAATGCCACAAGTCGCCAAAATTTCTAAATTATTCATGGTGCAAAATTAATCAATTTACGTGACAGAAAGTCAGTTCTACTTGCTAATGTAAGATCCTAAGCCGTCGGCATAACTGTTAGAATTATACTTATAACTATAATTATAAATTATAAGTGTAAGTATAAGGAAAACTTTATAAGAAACTGTTTTGCGCAACCACGCTATTGATAAAAACACAATTTTAACCTTTACAATTGGAAAAAAAATATTACGGCACTGGTAGTAGCCAGGCTTACATTAACTTAAAAATTCAAAAAATTTCATAACAACGAAAAGCCGTGCACTTTTGGAAGGCCGCAACTCTATATTCACACTTTATCTATGCAATTGCAACTAACTGAACGGATATGAATTTATATCCTAACAAAAATGGACATGAAATCAACCAATCAAGGTAGGGTAATTTTGACATAGGAAAGAGAGGGCTAAATAAGGTAAGTTAGCTTGGCTTCTTTCAAGTCAGATGTTGTATTTTGATACAAAAAGGTAAAGTATCGTATGGATTTATAATTTTTTCCCTTCCTGATCAAGTAAGAATTTTCAGATACTACAAAAAAATCATTAAGTATATGAAAAGCTCCTAATAATAATAGCGATAACTCACAGCGCTTCTTTCCGAATTTACCTTATCTCCGTCTAGCTCCGCCGACACTTTCTGCGCAGATCAAAATGCCACTTTTCAATTAGAAAGTGACTGATTTCATAAATTAATTTGTAAGAATATGATTGCAGGGACCACGAATAATAGTGAGTAGTGTGAAAACTGTTTATTGGGTTAAATATAATTGTTTGCAGGTATTGTTTAGTTAATAATGTGTAGTACTAGTGTTATTAACTTTTTTAAACAATTGACAGTTTACAGTTGTCATCACTGTCATTATGACAATCTGTATATCAACGAAGCTACGGCGTCCAAGATAAAAACATTAAATACAGTTTGTTGTAGAAAAAGTAGACTGTAAACTGTATACCACTCGAGTGGATTGCCCATATCACCTTCGGGCGGCTTACTGTCGTTCTCAGGTGATATGAGCATCATATTCACTCTTGTTGTACAATCTACTACTAATCTGACTTGTAAGGTGTTCTCTGCAAAAATGGTGCATCCAAGTGAAACTGAGCGCACAGAATGATTTTGCTCAAGTAGTAACACTTTTCAATGAAATTCATCCTGAGCAAAAACCTGGCAGTCCAAAAACTGCTACAAATGATGAAAATGCCCTTAATACCCTCTTAGACGCAACAGAAAATCCCAAAACGTCAGTGCATCTATTAGCGCTGAATCACAGTGTTAGTAGAAAAACAATTGAAACAATAGTGACAAAGGAAAAGTTTCACCCATATAAAATCCATTTGGTACAAGAGCTAAACGAAGATAATTTTGATCGTAGAGTTGAATTTACCGAAATTATTATGAACATAATACAACAGGACGGAAATTTTATCAACAGGATTTTGTTTTCTGACGAATCAATGTTTTGTTTAAATGTTCATGTGAACAGACACAATTGCAGGTACTTGTCTGACACAAATCCATATTGGATGGAGCAAATCTACACACCAGCGTCCAGAAAAACTGAATGTTTGGTGCGGTGTTATTGGTTACCATGTAATTAATTTTTTATTAATGGGAATTTAAATTCTGAGGGATACTTAAGGCTGTTGTGGAAACGTATAGTGCCTAGACTTAAAAGAGAATTGTTTCCCAATTACCAAAATCCTGAGTTACCAGTAGAAACTATTTGGTTTCAAAAAGCCGGTGCCCTATCCCATTTTGGACATCAAGTGCGACAGTAGTTAAATGAAATTTTTGCTGGCAGATGGATAGGCCGAAGGGGTACTACTGAGTGGTCTGCTAGGTCACCGGATTTGACACCGCTTGACTTTTTTTTGTTTGGCTATTTGAAGAATCGCTTTTATATTGTCACGTCCCAAACCCAATTTCCCAGAAACCCTAAATTGTAAATTCCCAAATAAGACTTTAAACTAGATTATTATTTAAAATGGTACTTACATGGTTCCGAGGTCTGGTTGTTGCGATGATGGTCACCCACTAACCTCCTGCTTCGGGTTCTTGTTGGAGCCAGGAAGCCATCTCCTGCTAGAACGGCAATTTTTCCTACTTGTCTTAGTTCAATCACATTTCCGTTCCAGTAGGATATTGCCCTTCCGTCTTCAAATACCACCATTGATTCAAGAGGAAGCGAGGCGTCATGATTTCGCAACAAGAATTATAAAATATTTGTCTTCATGACAATACCAACGGACCGATTCATATTGAAGACTTACCCAAATTCTCATTGCAAAATTTTATTCAGCGTCTTTTTTATTGCCAGGAAATAAATGGAGAGCATTCTGAGCATCTTTTGTAGAAAACAGAAGTTTAATTTTGGTTTCGGTTGGTATTGGTTAATTTATTTATTGTTTAATATTAATTAAAATTAATAATTAGTAATGTATTTAATTGTTGCTTAATAATTTATTTTTCCATTTCAGTTAAAGAGAAAGTGTGATTGTGCTATATAAAAGAATTCAGAAAAAAACTCTATTCAAAAATGCATTAATTCTATGGTAGTGCTATTTAAAAAAAAATCAAATTGGCCTTGCATATCGCAAAAAAAACGAAGCAAAAAAAAATAGAACACAACTTCTTGTACCCCATACCTAATTTCAGTTGATATGTACAAGTGGTTCTCAAGATATTTAACCGTTTCCATACATTTTAGCGACCCTGTGTATTTGACTTATCCAAGTACTACGTCAAATAACATTTTTCATGTTTTTAACAAATTTTACTGTTATTATGAACATGGTGGATAATGGATAAAATACAAAGTTTTATATAAAATTCTTCAGTATCCTGTTTGCACTTGTTTGAAAGCACGCTACATATTATTTAAAATTAACCTGAGTGATTCCTGCTTTTCGTTCTTGCGTACTACGGTCTAAACATACGTCACCTAGTTTCTACTGAAGTTCGAAGTTATATTTAGAATATCTAAAATATGAGTTTTTAGACAAGTGAGAAGTTTGCAGGCCAATATCGGTGCAAGCTCGGTAAAAAATTAGTTTCAGACTGATTCCTGTGAACAATGAACACAAAAACAATGCGACGAAAGAAATCATCACTGTCTGAAGTGAAAGTAGCTGTGATCGGTGCACCTGGTGTAGGAAAAACTGGTGAGTTTTTTGGGAATAATATTTATTTTTGTTATGTTCTTTTAAATCTACCACACTGTGTATACAAATACACACGTTTTGTTTCAGATGAAAGTAGTTTACGTGATACAAAAAACTATAGAATTTAAACTGTGCATGTTTTAATTTTTTTTTCCTTAGAAAAATTATATCTTTGTGTACCTAATAAAATTCTAAATTTATCTCGATAAATTCGTTTCTAACTTCATGAAAGTATATGTAAACAGTACATTTTAAAGTGGAGCCTTTTCCAAAATATATTAGTTGAACTACCTCATTGATCGATTCAAGATAAACAATCGTAAATCATTCATATCCTATCGAAAATATTTCTGCTTAAAAATTTCACAATTTTATTAATATCTGCCTGCGTAAATGTTTAAAATTATTAAAGAAATCATTTTTAAACTGAAGTTTGTTTTAGAGAATTTATTTTTGATGAAATTACAATAACAAACCACAAATGAATCCTCAGCAAGTTTGTAAATGTGTATTATTCTATTATTTGTATTAATATATAACTCAACTAGGGTTGTACTGCATTCTAATACTTCCAAAAAATGTAAAGAATAAACAGTATGGGCCATTTTATGCAATATTTTAACTGAGATTAAGCTAATCACGCATTTCACGAGGGTTTAGCGACGCTTGATTGGCGTAGAAGCAGTGGCGTGGTACTTTAACGCCGTGTTAAAAATTTAATTGCAATCAAATATTTAATTGAGCCTATGTACACCAGGTTTTAAGCTTTTAAACAAATATCTTACTTTCATTTTTAAAATGTAGTACCTAGCGAGAAAATGTTAAATACCTCAGATAAAAGAGCAGATTAATTCCGTCATAGCCATAGGCTTGTTTCAATATTATTCAGAAAATTGTATTTACCTTTATCATTATCGTCATTTTTAACACAATTTTGAACTTGTCATTGAAATACGAGTACCCTTCTTTTTAAAGATATTATGTCAATATTTATCATACACTCACTCCTAAATTTTATATCATTATTAACTCCCATGCAAAAAGAGGGATGTTATAACTGTGATTCCTTTTTCTCTAACTTTGTCTGTCTGCGGTATAGTAGCTCCTAAACCCAAACAGATAAACCGATTTCAATCCGTTTTCTTTTTAAACCTGATTTAATCATGATGGTTCTTATCTATGTTTGATGGTAATCACCAGAGAACGACGAAGCCGTTTTAATATATAGCCGTACACAGTTTTCGCAGCACGCTCAAGGTCTAGCGCTCGCTCGAGATTTTCCTCTGTAAAATGTGTTCTTTTGGGGGTTAATAAGTCTTTCAATTTAGAACATGAACGATCCACGTCACAACTGGTTATGGGACCGTAATTAAAAAATGGGAGCAATTTTTCATATGTATTTTGTTCTAATATTTGGCTCTGTCATGCCGTCGCAAAACTAATGCAAAGTGTTTGAACCGGGAGTACTACTAAAAACAGATTCTACTTTAATTTTTAATTTCTTCCCAAATTCAACTGGAAGCCTTTTAAATTTGGTCACAATACTTTGAAATTTTGATAAAGGATCATACAACTTTAAAGGTTCAGAGTGCAAATAAACTATAGTTTTCGATGAATCTTGACAATTTTGTGTAATGTTAATTATTATAAAAAAATAATATAAAACGCTGCTTCTATTAAAAATGGAATAAAAAAATCAAAATAAGATTCGTAAAAATGGAAAGTATACTGAAAAACCTCCACACAGATATATGTATTTGAGACGGTATCTCACTAAAGCGAAGAACAGTTTCAATAGAGCATCCATATTTGTAGTATCTAAAATTTCTATACATGAAGCCGTACATTTTAAACGATGTGGTGATAATTTCACCAATGTGATCAGCAAAAGTTAACATTTGATCAAAAGTAATGCCAAGTTCTTTTATCCGCGAGAGCGATTTAGAGACTATCTTGAATTTTGTATGAATAAAATACGTAGTTTTGTTTTCCGGTGAAGGTCATAATGTAACATTTGGTATAATTGAAGAAAATACTGTTTCAAATACACCTGTTGTTTGAACGATTAACATCGGTTTGAAGGAAATAACAGGATCCCCAGCGACAACAAATTTTTCTAACATCAAGGTGGTAAGATCTTGCAGTCAATCCAATACTTAAAGTACTGCAAATAATTCTATAGGTGATTCGATTGTTTTTTTCAACCATTTTTCAAACTGCAGCTATGTTTTTTACTTCCTGAATGTTAAGCAAAGGAAGTGTAGTAGGTAATCGAGTCCATCGGACGAATAGACACTTTTCTGTTTTCTCGACGTTTACGACCCCTACAGTACCAAAAAAGCTGGTCTCCCGTTTCCGTCTGTCTGTCTGTCTGTCGTCTGTGTCGACTTTTATTAGACACGTAATCTCCGAAACTACTGGACCGTATATTTTTTTCAATGATTCGAAAATGTGCAAATCAAAGTACGATTTCGGCTGCAATACTTTAATGTTGTTATGCAACGTTCATTGTATTTAGGATGCTCTATTTGTTGTTTATGAATCCGTCATCAGATTTTCCTCGGGGCATCTAAATTTTCTCAAAAAAAAAATCGAAATTGTATAGCAACAGTTTGTACTAGTATATAGGGAGTTCGTACAAAGTTATTCCTTGGCATATACCGTAGTGTTCTCTTTTAGATGCGAATATCCCGCTCGTTCGAATCCGATACGCAGTTTTTTTTCCACATTTACTGACTCCTATTATCTATTATTTTTTTTTATTAATCAAATCTCAAATGTGGTACACCCCAATTTTCATTATTATTATTAGTATTATATGGCACGTGTCGGAATTAACATACTTTGCTGAAATAATGGTGATCGTACATTTTCAAATGGAAAAACTTATTAATGCAGGCTTACTTTATCAATGCATTCATATTTTTGGAGTAACTGTTAATTCGTTTCCTATCATTGACGACGCGACGGGTCACTTTAGACCAAATATAAACAAGTGTGTTTTCGTAACATAATGCGTTGGAATCAATAGCGGGTGTGGGTAATTAAAGTATCATACTTTAATGTGCTTAGAAAAACAAGCAATAGAAGAATTTATAAAAAATTATATAGTGTCATAAAAAAGGTATATTGGAGACAAACAAAAAATATAGGATGTAAAAACTCATCTATATGATTTCATTTAGCTTCTTACACTGTTGCTGGTACATATTACTTATCTATTTTTATTTTAATGTATATAGGTTAATTTTTCAAAGAAGCGGGCTTTGTTGGACTGTATTTCAGGGGCGAGAGAGGTCCTGCCGAAATAATCTTCGACGATTTAATTCGGTAGTTGCAGAAATTGTTCTACCTTCACGTAACTCATCTCTGAACGAAACTCTTTCGAACTTGAGTTGCATAATATTTACCAACTATACAATACGGTCCTTTAGGAAGGCGTTTCATCACCAAATGCTGCCCGCAGACGGTGCATACATTCTCTCAGGAATAAAGAGCATTTAAAATAAAAACAAAATCATTGGTCTAAAATTTCCACGTATCAAATGCATTTTTAACTGGCATTCCTCTATTCAAAAATTAATTTCTTTTAGCGACAACTTATACCTTGACAAAACTGATAGGGTCGAAACATAATTCTACAAGCTTTTGTTTAATAAACCTGCTTAAGGTTTCATGAATTTTTCTAATATTGTTTCGTCAAAATTTGCGGTGCGACCGACGCATTTGTTATCAGATTCATAAATTCACGGTTTAATCAAAGTTTAAAGTATGTTGGAATTAAGATAAAATGTCAAATATTATATAATACATGAGCGAAATGCCATGAAAGGTCGTGAGATCAGTTTCACTTGCGATAACGCATTCGTGTCAGTAGTTAACTAGTGATTGTATTTATTTGTCTCTTTTTTTTAGCTACTTTGTATATCATGTGTGAACCGTGAATGGTTCTTTAAATAAAATAACAATCACTAGTTAAATTAATAATTTTTAAAGCGATTTTGCAAAACATTTCAGGGTGGCCTGTTTTTTTTTTTGACGGTTAGTATATAATATAGCGTTTCTCTCACTTATATTATTAGTTTAATAGTTATTTATGTACCAAGTCAGTAAAGTGATTCTTTATCGAGCGAGCGAAGCGAGCGAAGCGAGTAACAGGCGAATTCGATAAAGATCCTTTACTGACGTGGTGCATACAAATTTTTATCGCCAACCTTAAAAATTTATAATTAAAAATAATGGAAATGTTATGACTTATCACATTTTATTATGACAGTAAACATATAATAACAATGAGTCAAAAGATATCTACTTATTACTTGTTATATTAAATGTAAATGTACAACCTGACGGATTATAAAAATTGAGTCCTGAAGTCGAAGGAGTTTGAAGTGAAAATGTTTGAGGATTAGCCGTGCTAATAATTTCATTAGGTGAATCTTGAGTAAAATTATCATTGGTAACAAATATGTTGTCAGTTTGACTTTCACCTAAAATTGTCTCTGCGATTTTCTTTTTATTGAGCACAGATTCCTCAACATAGTACTCTGCAATCGTATCGCCTGCGTTGGCAAAGAGAGTGGCAGATGTTCGACGGAAACAATGTCCCGTATAAAGTGATGGTTCTGGCAAATGCAAATACGTAGCAATTTTGGTTGGTATACTTCCAAAAGTATGGATCTCTACTGGCTGGACTGTACATTTGTGATTTCTATAAGATAGAAAAAATCGGTCGTGGGGCGTCTGCTTAGGACGCAAAGCTAAATATTTGTTAAATAATTCTATGGACTTTACTTTTCCTTCAAATTCTGATGTGATTACAAATAATCGAGGCCTGTTGGTTTTTGTTTTAGTTATGTGAACAACAAGAATTGTTTCTTTGTGCTCGATGTCACTTACTTTTAAATTCAGAAGTTCATCATTACGGCAAGCCCCAGCAATGCCAAACACAACACAAATCTAAAATAATTATTACATTTATATCAAATTGGGTTTAAAAA